CCGAGGCCATGTGAAAAGCCTCGATTATTTCACGCTTTGTTCTGTCCTTTGATCTGGCCAAGATAGAAGTAGTGTCAAGGAGAGCTTTGCAGTTGCATTTTGAACAATGCGCTGCAAGGTTGCCAGGTGCTTGCAGTTGTCCGCATGCATGGTTGTGCTCCCTTAGTCTCTCGTTAAGGCATCTTCCAGTCTGCCCGACGTAGGATCTTCCACACGACAGTGGTATTTTGTATACCACACCTTCGACACATTCAACAAATTTGCTCCTGTGTTTCACTTGACACAATGCCTTGCTGTTAGTCTCGTCCACTTCATTGTTGACCTTCCTGCATAATCCTTTGAGCCTGAAAGGGGCAGATAGTGACACTCTGACTTCGTACCTTGCGGCGATATTTTTTATTCTGTGTGAAAAATTGTGTATATATGGCAGTACCACCTGTACATGGCAAAAGGAAATAGAGAACTACTGGGGTTTTTCCAGAAAAATGGTGTCAGCAAGTGCTTTAGATATGTAGAAAAGTTTTTGGTGTGTTTTCCAATACACAAACTAACATACAAGGTACGTTCAAAGGTCATGGAGAAGTTTCGAGAAGCGCACAGAGGACTGGATTTTACTTTTGAGTTACCTGACAAAAGCAGCCTTCAGTTCTTGGACATCCACATGACTTTTAAATACAGACACACATGCTGGATGTACAAAACTAGAAGAAAAAAACGAATTCTGCCGTATGACTCTGGACACACAAAGTTAGTAAAGAGGAGTGTTGCCTCAGGATGCATGTGGCGAGCAATTCAAAAATCGTGTCACCACAAAGTCTCAGAAAGTTTACAGAGGCAGACAAGCAGACTACACGCAAGCGATTATCCTGAACCCATACTGGTAGCTGTAGCAGAAAAATGTATTTCCACACTCACAGGAAAGTGCAAAACCAAGGAGAAGATCTTGGACAAAAGACCAATGGTGGTACTGCCATATATACACAATTTTTCACACAGGATAAAAAACATCGCCGCAAGGTACGAAGTCAGAGTGTCACTATCTGCCCCTTTCAGGCTCAAAGGATTATGCAGGAGGGTCAACAATGAAGTGGATGAGACTAACAGCAAGGCACTGTGTCAAGTGAAACACAGGAGAAAATTTGTTGAATGTGTCGAAGGTGTGGTATACAAAATACCACTGTCGTGTGGAAGATCCTACGTCGGGCAGACTGGGAGATGCCTTAACGAGAGACTAAGGGCCGGTTGCACCAACGCCGCTTACCTTAACCCAAAGCGGCACTTTCCTAAGCCGGCTTAGCGCCCTAAACCGAGCTTAGGTAAGCACGGGTTTAAATTCCGGTTGCACCAACGTTAAGCCGTCTTTACAGACGCGCCCCTAGCTAAACGCTGGATTTGCGTAGGGAATCTAGGGACAAACAGAGCAAACTAGGGAACGCTCAGAGCGACGAATACGATTGGCGGAGAGGAACCACGTGATGTAAACAAAAAAAACAACAAAAAAAACTGCCGTAGTAGTTGTCGTCGGCGTCAGCTTTTCGCTGTATTTCTTCGGTGAGTAACAAATTAAAGGTCTCCAAATTCAATCATTTTTTCGTTTAACTTTCAATAACAGAAGTCAAAGCTTCAAATAAACACGAATGCTCTTTACATCTGTGATTGTGTGTTTAATATCGGTTGATAACAGGATATTTTGACAGTGGTAGTAGTTTTCGTGCTCACATTTTGAGGCGAAGGAGCCATCGGGGGCCCCAAATCTCACCGAACGCGAGAAGGACACTCTACTCGCTACATCGCTGAAGAAAGCAGGTAAGATGACTACTAAAACCAAGTCAAGCCTGAGACCGATGAAGTTCAAAACAGTGAGGAACTCGCCACGGCAGCTGCGAAAATGCCCGGAAATCGTCGAATAGAAGTCGTCGAGAAGTCAGGTCACGAGACCTTGCATCGACGGTACTCGTTACTATCAGCAAGGTGACAGAACTGCACTGTACCGTCGTTGAACATCCACTGCAGCCTCAAACGGACTTCAGTTTCACACTGTCAAGTTCAGAAGGAAAAAAAAAAATACTCCCACTAGTACATCACATCGTGCCGATAAGAACGGTCGTCTCTTCGCATCACCCGCCCCAGCCTGCCCCGATACAGCAATGCACGAATCTAACATAGTAGTCGTTACGATTGGTCGTCGCCACGAATGAAAGATATAAAGCAAAATATTCCTAAAAAATCGCGATCACCAAAAAAGTTACAGAGGACACAACAAGGCGCAACTTTCAACTGAATTTTATTGAAAACGTGTTCCGGTATATAGTCTCAACCATCGTCACAATGACAACAAACGACAAAAGTAAAGAGAAAACATCATCACAGAGCACAACTCGGAAACAACACTATCTCGTTCTCGGGAAGCGAATGAAAGATATAAAGCAAAGTATATAAAAAAAAATGCGATCACCAAAAAAGTTACAGTTATGGAACGATACAGTTTTCTGAAGCCAAGATTCTACTCGCGAGATAAGGAAAATTCACTGAAGATTGTCTCAAAACTCAGAAAACGAAAGAAATTGAATTTTCGCTGTTTTATTACTTAAAAGCGCCGCAATCTAATGCAAACGGCAGAGGTGTCGACAATCAGCTGATCGCCGAGATCATGTACTGCCACTATTCAACGCGCTGATCAGATTGAAGGATACGCGCTGCAAGTGCAGATAAACAAGGTAGTAAATAACAATACGTTACAGCTATGCGAAAATTAGTAAGTACATACGAATAAGCTCGTTGACAGAAGAACCAACGGGAATACAGACGTGAGCCCCACAGCTCCGTACGTTTCTCGGTTAGGGCTAACACGCCCTGAAAGTGGAGAGCCAACTTGAAAACAGGGGTCGATCAACACTTCACGCGACAATATTTTGCATCCTTGTCACAATCGAAAGTCATTTTGTCGAAACTTTCACGCTGATGTAGCCTAAAACACTTTGCATAACCAATTTCGTCCACCGCGTCGACCGTGACAAACCAGCCGCCATGTTTTTAATCCAGGATTAAGAAACAACCAGAAGCAAAGCGCCCAATGTTGAGCGCTTAAGTTAAGCGTAGTTTAGTGCTAGGTTTAGCGATAAGCGAGTTTGGTGCAACCGAACGAAACCGAAACTAAGCTTAAGTTCCCGGCTAAGCTCCGCTTTGCGCTAAGCGACGTTGGTGCAACCGGCCCTAAGGGAGCACAACCATGCATGCGGACAACTGCAAGCACCTGGCAACCTTGCAGCGCATTGTTCAAAATGCAACTGCAAAGCTCTCCTTGACACTACTTCCATCTTGGCCAGATCAAAGGACAGAACAAAGCGTGAAATAATCGAGGCTTTTCACATGGCCTCGGGTAGACACGGAGCGTGCGTCAGTGAGCTATCACTAGCTTTGCGACAAGAAGAAATAGATCTACTCAATAAGATACCAAACTTGTCGGGGCAAACATCAGGCCCCAGGTAAACGCTACAAAAAACACACCATCCAGTTCGTATATCAAAGAGGCAGCTACAGCAAACACCATCAAGTTCAGAAGCCAACAAATTCAAGACATCAACCATTCGTTTTCTTAGGCGCAATTTTGGAAATACGGGTCGGGGGAGAAAAAAGAGAAAGAAAGTAAACAGTTGTTAGTCTGCGCCAATTCATGCATGTTTTTGTCTGTCCTTCTGCATTAACTCCATTTCTCCAGTTTTTTTCCGCGTAACTACGCAGCGCAGCATACCATCAATACTAAGTAGGGTCGGGCAGTATGCCGCCCCGAATCAGGAACTATAAAAGGCCTAGCTTTATGCAGCTGGGAAGACGAGACGCTACACGCTGGGCATCCCGAACTTGGAATATACGACACCCTTAGAGATAGTAAAATAACACTGCGTTAGGAACAACTTAACGTATACGTACCTTGGAAAACAAAGCCGTCTACGCACCGCTGAACGCCTCTGACGACGCGATAACAACGTCGAACTCGCCTTCCGAACGGGCAGCAGCACTCCGCAGCTCGCGGGCCCACACCGGCCGGCAGGGCCGGCAGCGGCTTGCGCATGCGCGGGTGAGAGATGTCTTCCTGCGCGTGGCGTAACACGGCTCACGGGCTCTGTACTTCCGCGGTCTGATAGAGTTCCATAAAAATTGCTGGATATCCGGCACTTTTGGGCGCGTTCAATCCGCTTATACCAGTTGAACCGACTATAAACTGTAGTCTTGTAAGGCTTTTTTTATTTATACGGATAAGCTCATACTTAATGCCTAAATAGCACATTTCAATGCATATGGTACAGTTCCCGTTGTTGAAAGCAAACAGCACATTGTGTGCATTTCCAGAAAACGGGACATGTTCTATTCGGTTTTTCCACGTAGATTGATGGAATTTTCTAACAGTGTAGCGTCACATTCTTACCAAGTTAGAGCTTTCTGCGATGCATAGTTTATTTACCCTGGCCGAAAAACACGCTACTCTGGTCTCGGGAACTCCCTGAATATATAAAGAGTGGGCTATCCGAGCAACGCCAGGACGCCAGCGAAGAATGTTCACGATCCGGAGAAAGAAGAGGCCCGCGAACGAAAGTGAGCCAAATTAAACGCAGGAAGAGGGCAGCGGCGGCATAAGCGGCTTATTGTCAATGTGTGGACTTTCCGGTGAACTTTACTGGACATTTAGGCCTGTACGTGTGTGCGTGTGTGTGCGTGGCGTTGGGTGAGATTCGCACCGCTATATCCTTAGAAGACGTAAAGGGTGCGCAAGTTTCATCGACGCTCAGGCTGCACGAACACACGGCTTCGTTGCAACACAAAACTCTAGCAAATTAGTACTTAGTTTCGTCACAAGTTTGAAAAAGCCGGAGCTCTGTAAGCGCTGAAACGTTTTCTCCAACAACGCTTTAAATGATCCATGACGTGGCACACTCAAAGCGTGACATCCGCTTTTGTATAGATCCACTCGTACTTTCTTTCCTGCTCGTTCTGTGACCCACCATTGTCGGCGAATTCCTCCACGTTGAACGTTTCGATGCTCTTGAAGTAGGGCAGCACCTCCTCGTAAGACCAGCCATGGGCACCGTAGTCGTGGGCCCACGAGTCGAAGTCTCGCTTGTTCCCGCGAACGTACATCATGAAGTTGAGAACACTGCAACCGCCCAGCACTTTGCCCCTGGGCCACGGATTGACCTGCATGAAGTAGCGAAGCCGCGTTTGACGCTGCTTTCTTAGTCCCATCTCGTGTTAGAGATTCCCCTCGAAAGACACGCGTCGAATTCATAAAAAAAATCTGACCCACTTAGCAATGGCGGAAATATAGAGCCACAATGTCTGTTGCGGAGGTGGCAGTAATAAAATTAGTGTAATGAAATCACAGTAATTAAATTACTTTTTGTAATAATAAATAATGTAATTTGTTACTTTTTTGGTGCACGTAATCTTGTAATTTAATTCATCACGCTGGGCCGGTAATGGTAACGAGAATACTGAATTACTTTTTTCTTTCAGGTATAGTTTCGTGCGCATACAAACACGAATGCCAATTTTTTATTCAAAAAATAAATAACAGGATTGGACAGGGCAAGGGTTCTAGATGTATATAATAAAAACAGTGTGGTCATAGTAATGCGTTACAAGCAACGGCGTTACCGGAAAAGCGTGACTTTATTTTGTAACGTCCTCGTTACCTTTCAATATAGTAACGGGTAATGTACTTACGTTATTCAATACTTTTTTCCCCAAGACTAAAAAATTTGCACTTAAATTTTTTTTCGTCATGTAGTCTTTTTAGTTTTTTTTGCGTTTTTGTGTGCGTTTTTTTCTTCTGAGTATTTAGCTGAAACCGTACAAAAAGATAATCTAATTATGTTATGTTTCTGCATGAACATAATGTTTCTTGAAATATGGTGCTTATGCCCACCTGTACCGTCAAGAAAGTAAAACGTAAATTCCTAATTTATAAAAGTAACGAGCGTTACTTTTTATCGGTAACAGCAACACGTTCTTTTTATTTTGAGGTAACGTAGGTTGGTAACGCGTTCCTTTTGTTTGCAAGTAGTAACGTATTTCGTTACTTTTTTCGGTAACTCCTACAACACTTAATGAAAACAACATTATGGGACTCCTGGACACACTTAAAGAATAGAAAGCATTTAGCTCGTTGGAAGTGCACAATAGATAGAAGAGGAGCCTCAAACACACAATGTTGTTAAAGGGGAGCATAAACTCAAGGGTGAAACTTTTGTTCCCGAAACATCTGGATCTCCCGAAGAGGACGAACAATCTGCGCATATACTTCGCAGAACAAGATAAGATTAATAAAGTGCAGGAATAGAGGCTCCAGATAAAAGGCTTTAGAGTAGACCGACAATTCTAAAAAGACATTCGCTTAAATGTGACGGTAGAAAGCTCGCTGAAGGTTCACCTTTTTTTTTAAAGCATTATATGCTTCTTGACGGAACACCCAATCCAAAACGTTTGTCCGTCCATCCGTCTGTGCATTTTCCGAAAAAATTAGCGGGAAATTGATGTCACGTGACAAAACGTTGTGAAAATTGAGGTCACATGACATGACGTCACGCGCTACACACCAATTCAGTTTCCCCGTTAGATTTGGCGGGGGAATTGATATCCCGTTGGCCTGACGTCACTCAACCTAGACACCAATTTAGTTTCCTCGCTAAATTTAGCGGGAAAATTGACGTCAGGTGACCTGACGTCACGTGACTTATATTTTTGTTATACTCATGCCACGTGACCTATATATGCTAGACTGTATAGATTTTGTTTGCATAACTTCACAGCAGCGCGAAACTGACGTACCCTCGATCCGGTGCATTTTTGGCAGGGACTCAAACCGTAACCGTAACCGAAACCGAAAACCGTTTAGGAACGAAATTTTTTCTGTAACCGTAACCGGAACGAAACCGTTATTTGATATTTATAAAAACCGTAACCGTAACCGGAACCGTAAATTATTCACCGGTAACCGGTTTTAACCAATATTAACCGAAAAATAAACTATTAGTTTTTCTGAAGTATGACCCGAAGAGGGATCTTAAATTGTTGTGGCCATTTGATAGAGTTACTGTCAGCGAGTGGTGCATCTGGTTACATATTTCCATTCAATCTGACTTTAGGATTAAGAATACTCAGATTGAATTAGTGGTCGAGCTTATAATTAAAAAAATTCTATATTTCTAAATCTGCCACACTCCTACATCGCTACATGTATTCAGTATGTGTCGCTTTCAGTGTATTAACTAATAAGTTCGAATTCTCAGATGTCCATCCAACTCGGTTCTATCAAAATCACCGATGTTCCTGACATGCAGTAGCCAGTATAAAGAAACGAGGTAAATTGGCCATCATGCAGAGCTGGCGGAAAAGAAAACCTGGGCCCGTTTGCTCGAAGCGCTAACCGCGGCTAAAGTTAGCAGCAGTACCTAGGAGAGGGAGTTTGAAATCACGTGACTGGGGGCTGGGATGCCGGGAAGCATGGCGGCGCCCCGGTGCGTGAGCGCCGCTCGCTTTGTAACTAATATGTCGTTGTAGCTGCACTATCGGGCGCGTTAGTCAGCAACGAATGGTGCAGGAGGCTTTCGCTTTGCCTTACCTCGCTTAAATCGCAAAGCACGAGCAATGACTTCGCGGCATTTGTTGCATAGTCTTTCGATTCTGGCCTTTCTAAGCCTAAATGAACGCGATAATTGTCGGCATGGCAACGTCTTTGGAAAGCGGATTGCCTTGACTCAATCGACCGGATATTAATAGTACACAAAAGAAGACCAGCGTCCCGCCCCAACAGACCTTTTTCTAAATTACCCAAGCATCGAGAAGAACGCTGGAAGTGTAATTCTATGGTCCCCGCTCGCTGTCCTTCCTCTTATAAAAGATTCGAAGTAAATAATCATTATAAGACTTGGACGAACGCGCGTGCAAGGCAAAATTTGTTTTAGACTTTTTCCTTTAGAACGATAGGCCCGTAGCTCACAAGTTTTGAGCAGCGCTGCAGGCGAGCAAAATAGAATATTTGGCTCGCGTTTCGAACATGCATCAATACGCTTCCCCACTAGAGTTTTTTCTACTCAGTTCCATTCTAAGTTCCAGCGTAGCAGAGGCTACAAGAGCGAACTGCGAGCTTTCCGCGTCCCTGCCAAGCACGCGCGCTCGTGCAGTGCGAGCATCGTTCAGGATGACGCGCTTTTCCGAGTATAGCTTCGGCTTCACTATCACGTAAAGTGAAATATACGTGCTCGCGGAAGCTATGAAAGAAAGCAAAGATGAAAGGAATGTTTAATGGAACGCTGCGGCCGCAAGCAGCATAATTCTGTTCTTTTTTTTAACTTTTTTTAGACGTTTTGTTATCGCACATCTACAGATGCTGACAGCGGCTTGTATTCGAACGTGGCACGTGCAAAATCGAACGTTACAGCGCCACACGGATGATGCAGCCAGCATAACTTGGTCGCGTCTTGCGTAAGTCTTCCGGACGCGCTCGCGCCCCCTGCCCAGAGCAGCGGGTATATTACTACTGCATACGCCAGCACACGCAATGCCTGCAACTACACTCGTAGCATGCACCTCGGTGCTTGGGAAATTTGTGTGCTATCAATACAAGGCCGATTGAGTCAAGGCAATCCACTTTCCAAAGACGTTTCCATGCATGCCGACAATTATCGTGTTCATTTAGGCTTAAGAATGGCCAGAATCGAAATACTATCTAAAAAATGCGGCGAGGTCATTGCTCATGCTTTGCGATTTAAGTGAGGTAAGGCAAAGCGAAAGCCTCCTGCACCATTAGTTACTGACTAACGCGCGCGATATTGCAGCTACAACGACATATTAGTTCCGAAGCGAGGGGCGCTCACTTTGCGGGGCACCGCCATGTTTTCCCGCATCCCTACCGATCCCTGTCACATGATCTCAGAATCCCTCTCCTAGGTACTGCGGCTAACTTTAGCCGCGGTTAGCGCTTCGAGCAAACGGGCCCTAAAGCCCCTGTATCCTGGGAAAAGTGGCGCCTTCATTGTTGTGGAAACGCGCGAGACACGTTCAGCGCGCCACTTCTGGAAAGTACATGGCGTCTGAAATCTAGCTCAGTGCTGCGCTGTGCCGCCATGACCTTCCCAAGGGATGCACGTTGCACGTGCCTCGTGCATCGACGCACTTTGCGCTACTTTTGAAACATGAAGGGGCTTTAATGGGCCCTGCTGTTCATTAATAATGTTTATGTTGTTCATTTAGTGTGAAACGTGTCGCGAGTGACGATTTTGAAACAACACAGAAAGAAAAAAAAAAGTCAGGGGTTTGACATTGGCGTTTTGTATTATATATACAATATATATATATATATATATATATATATATATATATATATGCTCGGGCTGAGAGTGGTGGAAGGAGCGAGGAAACGTCAGAAGGGTGTCCGAGTTTTTTTCTTTTCCTTCCCGCGCCGAGACCCTTCTTCAAACCGAGTGGCACCCGCCGCCTAAAGCCCCTTCATGTTTCAAAAGTAGCGCAATGTTCGTCGATGCACAAGGCACGTGCAACGTGCAGCCCTTGGGAAGATCATGGCGGCACAGCGCTACACTTAGCTATTTCAGACGGCATGAATTTCCCAGAAGTAGCGCGTCGCACGTGCCTCGAGCATTTAACAACAATGAACGGCGCCACTTTTCCCAGGATAGAGGGGCTTTACCGTCGCCGGCACTGCCACGCCTCTCAGCTTCTCAACATGACAAAAGAAAAAGCCAAGGAGAAGGATGCCTCCTCGTCAAACGCGCCAACGCGCCACCCCCGTTTAACAGACATGGGATGCAATTTCTGCCTCCTTCGCCTGAACCTTGGGAGCTGCCCTGCTTCCAATCGTCGATGGCCTGGCCAATCTCGCCCCACACGGCCAGCAGTCTCAACAGTCTCTCTCGCAAAACTGTGAACGCGAGCTATTCGAACGTCGGCACGGTGAGCTCGAACATCCACAGACGCGCCGAGAGATCGCTTCCAGCATCGCCGGAGGCCTCCCCCTGCCACCGCCGGAGGTATGGCTTCTACGAGAATCATTTCTACCAGAGCCACCAGCGCAATCCAACTACCTCTGATAGAGCCCCCACCACCCATGCCGGAGCGAGGGTCCGTCATGCCTACGACATTCTGAGCGACCTCGCCCAGGACACCATAAGTTTCTCCACGAGAGATGTCCATGAGATCAGGCATCTCCCCCGCCATCGGTTCTACTGGGATGACATGCTCCCCGAACACCAGCACCTCATTTTCGATAGACTGGAACTCTTCCACGTCGTCGCGAGAGGGAACTGTAGGACGGCAGTCCTATCCCAGACGTGGAGGATTCGAGTCTGAGGTTTTCAGAGAGCTCCCCGACCAGCTACCCAACCAGCCTCCACGCGGACGCCACACGCCTCGTGCTCCCGCGCACACCAGCTACCGCCCAGACACCAAGTCGAAGAGGCCCCCTAATCGTGAGTCCGGCAGCTACGTTGAGTCTTCGAAACCCACCAGTGCCGTCATCGACGGCACAGTCGTCTCCTCGACGCTCCTGTGCGTATTTTCCTGTCGAGAACATTCTCGCCCATGCTCTTTGCGAGGCTGGCGTCTCGGTCGACCGTGCCCGAGCTTGATCTTGGATCGAAGAAAACGACCCAATGGATCCCGACTCGACAACCACCGCCCCCGAGCGAATCTTGGAGAGGCTCAGCAGGACCGACACTGTCATTGAGCCCCACGCCGATGACGGCTCCTTCGACACGTACGATGGCAAGGAGGAAAACCACACCAACACAAAGGAACATACTACAGACAAACAAAGCGTCGTCGAAGACTCTCAGTCAGACCTGGGTAGCACTGCCTACAAGTCAAAAGCGACGGGACCTACACCGCCAGTCCACTCGACCCAGCAGGCACCTGAAGTCGACTGGGCAGTGTTTAGCAAGTAGTTTTCACGGGCCGCCCGACTACGGCGGACTTTCCATTCGCTGCACGAAGGCTTCTTGCCTCACGGCCCGCCCAGCCCAGCTCTCAATTTTATTACTTCATTCCACTTAGCAGTATTTTACTAGTGGATGGCTGTAGTTCTGTTCCTTCCTTCAGTGAAGCGAAGACTCGCCTGCATGTATGAGGTTGAAATCAACTGTAGCGACGAGAAAGTGCGAATGGTTCTTCCAGCATCAAGTGGGAACTTTCTTAGGGTTATTGTTTATGAATGGTGCCAAACAACAGAGTAGCGGTGTTTATTTTAATTTTTATTATATAGAACGCGATGATCCCCGAGTACTAGAAGTAACATGTATGCTCGGGCATCAAACTAAATAATGTAAGTAGATGTAGTGAACAAGAGTTGGAGCGAGGAACGTGTGCAACTTCTGACCAATTAGAAGTATTAAGACGTTTCTAGGTTCCTTGTATTTCACGTTATTGGATATCTGAGACTACTTTAAACAGTTTTTTCTAAAATGGCTGTCTAGCGTTTCAATTAGACAAATTATTGGAAAAACCGAAATAAACCGGTTTTTATGAACGTGTAACCGGTAACCGAAACCGTAAAAATTAAAACCGTAAAAAACCGAAACGAAACCGTTATCAACAGGAAGCGGTAACCGTAACCGTAACCGAAACGTTATATTTTTCGGTTTGAGTCCCTGATTTTTGGACTTCCCGCTGACACAGGGTATGCAACCGCCAAGGGTATGGGCAAAAAGGCTTAGAAACGTGAGTTAGTTCCAAGTGCTTCTTTTTACTGTGTTACAATTTCCGAAAATCTACTGTAGTTTCTGCTATCACTGCGCTGTCGTCGGATGCACAAATAATTTTAATAAGCATAAAAACAATCTCAAAAGTGCGCCACAAGAAGCTGCAGCGAGAGTATGGCTGCAATGTTATTGAGCTACAGATGTTCTCAAAAGATTCTTATTTATAAAGTCAGTTGATTGCGAACGAGAATTGCGAGGCCTTTGTATCATAGTCATCGTCAAGTCGATGCTCCCGAGTTCCGACTGATTCGTCTACGGTCAAAGGACCGATTCCAACCCGGTGTAGGTGCTCCGATTATGTTATCGCTGCGAGGTATGCTATTGCTCCATGGCATGTGAAGGGCATGGAAACGATTACGTGCCACCACTCAAGATGCGACTATTAAGTGCCGAAAGCCTTCCTGCACAGACTACATTAAACTGCTTATATATGCCTTCGTTGTGGAAACTCAATCAAAAACGACCCACTGTCTTCGTCTTCGTTCTTTCGAGGAAGCAAGGCGATGGCCTGCCATTACCCAGCTCGATTCCACCGGCCAAGGTCCAGCCAAGTTGTTGTAGCCCACCATAGCCAAGTCTAGCCAAGTTCCCCCATACCCACACAGTTGCCAACCCATATAGCTGTGCTGCCAGAACCACCTGGTATTTGAACTTTTAAGCCGCTAGATGGCGTCGTCGGTGACGAGATTCTCAAGATGGCGGCGGCCTTAGAAAAAGGGTCTATATGCCATTCTATTATATGCAAATACAGAGCCTAGCGCGCGATATCCACAGCCCAGCATGCTCATGTGCGTGGCTTCGCAAAGCGAGCGAATCTCGCGCCATATGTACGAACGCTGAAAATGATACCGACCTGAAGGCTTTTTTGGAAAGGTCTATATTGTATTCTAAACAAAGTAAGACGATCGTCCATTATTGCGTTTTATGCATTATAGGGCTTTAAAAATAAAGGTAGCTGCAATTGTTTTTACTAACATTACAACTGGCAGTTGCTGGACTTTTTTTAAATATTATTTTCTTCACATATCCCAGAGGAACGGAAAACGAACCAGGCATGCATATCTATTCCACCCGTCCTAAACAACCAGACAATCCAGAATTACCTCAAATGTAGTCCGCAATGCCTCTCGCATCTAAAACTCGTCTCTCTTTCCGCACGATCGGCTGTGCTACTCCTCGTGCCTGGCTTGATAGACTTCAAAAGCGGCCGATGTAAATAAAATATTTATAATGTAAATAACATCACATATCGCAAGACACTTTTAACCGATTTTTGCATAAGGAGGTAAATACATAATTTGGAAGTAAGGTCATTACTTTTTATAGGTATTTTTAAATTGTAATTAATTACTTTTGTTGTGATAATTTTTAATGCAAATAAAAGTAGTTTGTCCAACTCTGGTCCGTTGCAACTATTGTGCGTCTCCGACTAGTGCGTTTAACGCGCACTAAAACGTGGTCCCTCGATTTCCGTCCGATGACGTCCCAAAAAAGTCGCGCTGTCGCCGGCCGCGACCATGGCCGTGTCCCCTCAGCGGTGGCGGGTGTGGCAGACGTCTGTTCTCCTGTAGGTCACTCTCGAGCTAGACAGATCACGGAAGCTTCGGCAGCTAGGAGTTGTACGACGGCGGTTACACTCACGATCACTCGTACTTTTTGCCAAAACTTCTACGCCCAACCGCCACGATCGTGACGTGCGACAGTATGCCAGTCCGGCTTTTGTAACGTCATTTGTTGCCACTTCGGGACCTATTTAGATGCATGGAGGAATATTAATGCATCCGTCCGAGACAGGTTTTATGCACTGTAGTTGCAACATAGGGTCGGCAGGAGTAGCTCGGCCTCCGGCACACGCTCGATGTCTTCCCAGCATGCTTGGAACCCACGGGGGTTCGACGTGCAGGCAGCCCAACTAGGGCACGCCCACACAAAGCCGCCTTGGAGCCCACATCAACGCATTCGGCCCCCGTAGAGCCGAGGTGGGTCCCATGGGGTTTTTAAATCGGCAGCCCAAGTCGAGCATGCCCACGCTTCGCCGCCGTGGAATCCTCATCATCGCAACTAGGCTCCCCAACTGCAGAGGTGGGACCCACGGGGGTTTTACATGGGCAGCCCAACTCGGGCGTGCCCACGCTTTGCCCGTATCATCGCTAACTGCCCCCGCATTGCCGAGGTGGAACCCACGGAGGTATTGCACGGGCAGTCCAAGTTAAACAGGCACATACTTTGCTTCCCTCTGAAGGCCACATCTGCGTTAACTCTGCCCCCGCAGAGCCGAAATGGGACCCACGACGCTATTGCACGGGCAGACTAAACTGGGCCTGCCCTCGCGTAGCCGATGTGGGACCCACCGCGGTACTGCATGGGTAGCCCTATTGGGCATGCCCACGGTGAGCCCACGTGAGACCAACGTGGGTTTCGCAGGGGCTGCCCGAGCCCCCATTGCCCACGTGGACCTTGCATGGGTCCTACTCTTGTGCAAACTGGGTAGGGACAAAAATGTGGACAACACACATTTTGTTCCTGTATCTGGTCTTCTAAATGTAGAAAGTTTACCAGCTCGCCTGCGTGTTCTTCGTTATTTTTATCACTTTTGGTTAACTCGATATTCTAATGTCTACAAGCGCCTTTTTCTCAAAAATAAAAACGCGCTCACCAAACTTTCTAGAAAAAAAAAAAAAAGTCTGGCCTCACGATATCTTTTTAACGATCAAAGAAAAAAAAAAGTGTTTTTTTAAACAGCCTATTTGGGACAAGCATTTCACAAAACAAATCTTCTGCGAAAAAACAAAAGTTTTCTAGCAATATTTACGCCACAGGACGTAATTTAGTCGGCGTCACAACTTCCCCACATTTAAAACTCCCGCTCTTTCGACACGCGCGGAGTGGCTGTTAGACGTCGCTCCGTGACATATAGCAACCACTCCGTGACGTATAAGACCAACTTCGTGGCGCGCGATTTAAAACGGACGAAATAGCCGCAAACTAAAATCAGTCTGGCGCAATAAATATTGCTGTAAAAATGTTTGTTTTTGGCGGAAAAATTGTTTTGTGACATGTTTGTCCCAATTAGGCTGTTTAAAAAGACACTTTTTTTTTCTTTGCAGTTACCCTTTAAGTGGAGGTTCTAAGTGGATTCCCTAAGTGGAGTTTCTGAGTAGAAGTCCTGACCGGAGGACAGCTATCTTTGTGCTTGTGTGCTACAAGGACACTCGCCTTGTCCTCCATGGACTGGCAGCTGTTGTTCTGAGGTTCGGTGTGGTAGTCCCAGTCGTAGGGACCGTGGAAGTGGAGCGGCGCAAACATAGGCACGTCCGTCGCCGCGTTCTCTAGGCCACCAGCCTCCAACAGCAGGACGGTCACATTGGGGTTGGCAGACAGCCGGTTCGCCAACACGCAGCCCGCCGGCCCGCCACCCACTGCGTTGAAAGGGACGACCGCGTTATTCGCTGTCCCACAGGAAAAGGGTCCCAGGCCAACACCGCGCTTAAATAAACGAATATCTCTAGATGAAATTTCAGACAATCGTAGCCGAATGAAACTACTTCTATTCGAACTACTTCCTCATAAAAACCTGATCAAACGCCCACCCCCGAAAGTTCGCCCAATTCAGATTTTACCCGATCGTCTTTCCACCATGGCTGGGTGCTCATTCGAGATTTTACAGTATGCTTCTTGACATTGCGCAAAACGACCCATTCTCCTAAACCAATCCCTGAAGCGCTTGCACTTATATGTAGATCATGCACTCTATTTAAATGTTCTATGTATACCCTACTGGAAACACCAGTTCAAACTGGTACCAGTTTCAAACTGGGTTATTGCTCCAGTTTGACCAGTTTCATAATGGTTGAACTGGTCAGTTCGAACTGGTCACACTGGTTGACTGGTCATGATGGTTGAACAGGTCATGGTGGTTGAACTGGTCACACTGGTTCAACAGACATATTTTCATTTGTTTACGCCACCACTGCGCTTCGGAAATCTTTATTATACACAAATATAGACACAATATATACGCTTTCTACAAGCATCAGCTGAACATACATTAAGCGCATAGACACACACAGCCCATACGAACATCAATACAACGGCACACTAACCCTATCACTACTTCCCAGCTCTGCGTTTCCGTCTTTTATATTGGTCGTTCTGAACGTATGGAATTTCTCGGTGACCGCCTAAGCAATAAAAGTATTCCCAGCATGTTGATTTTTTTCAGCAATGTCATACCTCTGAGAATATTTTGAACGGCTCCGGGGATGAATCTCTTAGTAAAAAGTAAATGCTCGATCATGCCGTAATTATTTGAAAGCCAATAAGTCAAAGTGAGAGAGCTAGCCAATAAATAAAACGAGAAAGAGGGGTCAAACTGGTAACCAGTTGGACCAGGTAGGCCAATATGGTTACCAGTTGGACCAGTTCGGCCAGTCTGGTGACTAGTTCGGCGTCTGGTGACCAGTTCGGCCAATCTGGTGACCAGTTCGGCCAGTATGATGACCAGTCGGGCCAATCTGGTGGCCAGTTAGGTGGCTATCTGGTGACCAGTTAGATCAATATGGTTACCAGTTAGGCCAGTCTGGCTACCAGTTGCACCAGTTTGATATCCTGTTAGGCCAGTCTGACCAGTCGAAATACCAGTTTGACCAGTCCAAATACCAGTCTGACCAGATAAATTTTCAGACTGGTCTTTCCAATAGGGATAGGCTGTTGGACAACACCTTCGGGGGTTGGAAATGGCCGCAGAAGTACGCAATCAGTTGGAAGACCACCAAAGTTGCAACTAATATGATGCCAATGTAAGCTGCAGTGCATGGACAATTGCAAGCATGGCGCCCCGACTGGTGCCCATATGCGTGCAAGCACGTGCTGTGTGCGCGTGATCATAGCTTTGGCAGGCTTGAAACTGCACGGGCTTTCACGCACGAGAGGAGACATGGCGGCGGCCAGTCGCCTTGCTTGCAATTGTCAACAGCCCAAAAGACGCAGCACATTCAGCAGGCGCTCGTGGTCTTCCGCCGGGCTTCCGCTGCGTATGCGACCAAATATTATCACGGAGGCTACAGAAAAAAAGTATTTTAATTACAACTGAGGCCCCTCCTTCCCGGAACGTGACGTCATATACAGAAGTTTCGGAATCTCCGCCCTCGCGCGCCTTCAGTGCCCATCAAAGCTATTTACGCGCACTCTTGCTATTTTTAAAAAGGTCAGAAAAAGACGTCACGACTGGTGTCAGAGCGAGGGAATATACCTGGCAAACTTTTAATTGCACGCGCTATCCACACGAGCGACACGCGCTTGGCGGCCGAAAGATCTGCGTGTGACGTAACGACTGGTCGGAGGGTTTTCGTGTCCTCCCGCGTTTAGCTACATCTTCAGGAAAAACAAACGTGAAATTCAGATTTACAGGGTAAAAATACCCTAAGACTCACCTCAAACTTGTTTTTTTTTTTTTTTTTCAAGAATCTCTTTAACTTCCCTTTAAATTTTCTATATGTTATTTTATCAAATGTAACATGTTTAAAACGCCATCGTTCCTTCCTGCAACAACTAAATTTTCAAAGAACAACTTCGCGCAGCATATAAACATTTTTCGTTTTTTTCTTGATGTTACAACGAATATACTTTCTTACCCACACCGGCTATACTTTTGAGCCTTTCAGCCGCAGAGCAGACCGCGTATGCTGCAACGGGTGAAGATGCCGTTCTCAACTGGTCCGTGCTCACCGATCACGTAGTCGTACTCGTCGCGCAGATTCACGGTGTTGTAGTCGCTCATCGACGGAGGATAGCAGAGGTTCATCCACGCCATCAGCTGCGCCAACAAGAACACTCCCCACTTTGGAATCAGGAAGGGGATCTCGATGTCACCCAGCATGTCGGAACGAAATCCGCACCAATGCCACTCCTCGCCTGAAAAACGATCAAATGTAGCTGCACTTATCGCACAATCCTGGTTGAGTTTCATCGCACCTCATTAGTGCATAACTAGTCCGCACTAGAGGTCGTTAAACTTACAGGTTTTTTTTTTCTCGGTGCTAATTTGCATATTAAGATTTAAAAGAAGAAAAAAAAACACTCAAAAGTTTGCTGACTTGTCGGTAATATGCTTTCTGCAACCTTCCTTGGCATTTCCTTTTTCCCCAGAAAGGCGAGACAGATGCCCCTCCACTGGGAGATTATAATTACCAATTTGAGCGGTGCCTTTCTGAGCGCTATTGGGCGCCCTTTCAAGAGCGCACGAGATCCGGCGGGGGAAAGGGAGTGCCTTGACGATGTCGGCTGGTCCGTCAGAGTGCACAACGGCGCCGAAAGTACGTGGTCACGTAGTTTGTTGCTGACGATGGCGCTGGCAAGTGGGCGTGCGCAGGTGTGCGGTGTGCGGCAAGACAGCAATAAAATATGGTTCTGCAAATAGCTTGTGCTTTTGACGGTGCGAATATTACTACGGCATAACATTCTCGTATGACTAAAATAATTGCCATGATTATTGCTCCCAGCGAGATCGTTTATGGGCCGTGGCTAATCTCATGGTGCAATCGCTACTTTATATTTTCCTTTTCTGCTGCGTCCGTATACATAACTTGCACGTGACGCCATTCAAAGAGCGCTCCGATGACCACCAGAGAAGAGGGGAAGAGGGAGCTCCGCTCTTATCAGGATCCTCTTTCGTGCCTCCCGGGTGTGCGAAGACGTCGCTGTTCTTCTCCTAGAAGATTATCGGAGATTAACCCGTCACTCCCAATTCTTACAAAATCAGCTTCCCTCTCCTTTTCTTACATGGTGGTCAAAAGTATGCGATGTGACGTCACTGCAAACCATGTATAACCGCTATCGCATCGCGTTCACTGACGTCGAGTTGATAACCATTTAAAAACATTGGTGTTCGTCTCCGAAGACCGCTTTTATGCGGATGCTTCCGATTGTTTTTTCGGCACACGCGCTGCGAAAAGCAATCTTGTCTGTCAAGAGAGTCACTCGATCGTGTTGTGTAGGCCTAAATTTGACTCAATAAACCGTCACGCTGTAATCTATATATATATATATATATATATATATATATATATAGATAGATATAGATATAGTGAAAATGTGAAAAGTCGTACTTCCGTCAAGCAGTTGAGATCGGGAGTAAAAAGTTCCAGGTAACTCCGGCTGCAGGGAGAGAGCACTTTGTTGAATCAAGGTTAGAAGACAAAAGCGACCACCCCATGTTGCCAGAACATTCCGCCTTTTTCCTGGGAACCTTTTTCCTTTTTTTTTAATAAACTCAACCTGCCGCTACGTGAAGCTTTCACCAAGTACGACCGAAAAATAACATAAAACTTGTGGAAACTATAGGGGGCGATACATATAGAGGCAACACTACCTAGGGAGCACGGGGGCGGTACGCACACCGGCCAAGGACAGACGGTAAAGGGCAGCGGCGATGCCCCCCCGGGGAGAGAAGCGGGCTTAGTATGCGGCAAGATGTTCTGAGATGTGCACGTAGTTGCTCAGTATGTCACCAAGCGAAACCACCGAGTTGGTCAGTCCCCAGGTCTCATACAAACGATCGAAAGTCAGAGCTCTTGGCAGATCCGTTGTTGCAATGTCATGGGCCCGTTCCAGCGCAATCCTCCCGGGAATCAGTACTTGTTCGTAGGAAGTGATCCTTTCACAAATGGGTTGAGCCGTTCCCTTTGCGCAAACTGAACTCGCAGAAAATATTGGACTGTTTGTTGCCAACATTTGCGCGCTTCGAAGCCCGACGAGTTTGATTTCCGACAACGCTTCCTATTTTACTAGCAAAGTGATCATAGATGCGTTCGCGGTCCTGGGAATTGAACATAAGAGTACTTTAACATCGTATCAACCGCAGGCAAACATCACTGAAAGGGTAAACAGGGATCGTAAAATGATTCTCGTTGCGCATACAGATCGCCACAAAGACTGGGGCGCGAAGCTCCAAGAAATGGCCTTCGCCACTCACACCACGGTTAACCGGTCGACTGGCCTCAGTTCTGCCCAGCTAAAGGTTGGCAAAGAGCTTGCTTTCTTGCTTTGGAACGCTCGAATTCGCTCAGCAGATCCCGCGTCGCAATGCCGCAGCTACGCGAAGTATGCAGACGACCTCCGCAAGCACTTCTCGGACAACCTCAGAGAAGCTAGGGTCAGTCCACAGGACCAATTCATGTAACCGACCTAAAACAATTCCACAGCCAAGATTTCTCAAAGGATCTGACCGATGACAGCAGGAGTCGGGTTCCTGATCCCCCCTCCCTGCCACCCCGGCGGTACAACCTGCGACGTCGGTTTATCTTCATGAAGCGACTGACCAAAACAATTGTTCTTCCCCCCTCAAATTTTAAATGTTCTTTCCCGTTCATTCCCCATCAATATGTTCTCCTTTTGAAAGGGGGGACGATTACATCTGAACACTTTTTTTTTTCTTTTCGGGGGCCCCGCGCGGCACACCTCATGTTGCGCTCATCGGACCGTTTTTATTTGTTTTTATTATTATGAAGATAAATAGAGGGTGGCGATCTCATCATCGCGTCCACCGATGCCATTGATCAGCCACTATGGCCGGGGGACCTAATCCAGGTAGCGACCACGGTCAATCAGACATTAAGGACAGGGACCGGGACTATTGACGAGAGCAGGGCAACGCAAACTTCCACATCTTCTGCCGCCGCTGCCGGCGACGGCCACAAGCCAGCGTGGCAACATGGATGGTGCTGACCGAAAGTGGGCCAGTCGCCTGGACAGAGGAAAATTGGGAATCCCTCGTGCGTTGGCTCCGGCCCAAAGTCTCCATCCTGTCTCCCAGTGGGCCCGGTGCCCGGGTAACGCCGACTAGGTTTGACCAGAAGGAAATTGGCAACTCCCTCGTCGGGGGAAGAGGCGGGGGTGATGTTTTTAGTTCTGTTTGCCCGATCCCCCAAAGGTCATCCTGGTGATTTCCCACACCGCCTGGTGATAGTTGCGAGATTACGGAGGGTAAGCAAATCGGCGAAGGAATGAAATCATACTTTTGGTTCTTAGTTCCTAGGCTAGGCGGCGCAAGCTACCGCCCGTTATAAAGGGCACAGCCGTTAGCATCCATACACCCATCCATCCATCCAGCCACTGAGAATAGCGGGCATCACTGTGCCTAAGAGGCAACGCTGTGCCTTGGGAGCACGAAGGCGTTACCCCGGCCAAGGAAAGACGATAAAGGGCAGCGGCGATGCCCACCCAAGGGAAAGAGAAGCAGGGCCGGTAATAGAAGGTACACGATGCGCCGGTGTCGACCGATTGCCTTTATTATATACAAACTTTCTGTTCGCACGTTACTAATAAATGTAGTTTCCCGTTTTCTGAAATCCTGGCTCCGTGTTGTTCCTCTTGGTTGGGCACGCAGCAAGGCAACTTTCCCACAAACTCAACAAAAAATTTTAGCGTTATAAATATTGGTCTTTCAACCACATATCGTGACTTGAATGTGTAAAATATTCAGGTACACGCCCACACATATGAGCCGGAACACCTTATCTGGACCTTCGCTGCGCTGACAGCTGCGCCACGAGCTCTATTATTTCTATAATTGCCAAAGGGTTTCAGAGAATTTTGAATCCCAACGAAGACTTTAGAAACACAACGTTTCGAAAAAAGTCTGTCTTTCTTCAACTGCACAAGCTACAGTTGTAGAGCGGTTTTGTATCAGAGAAAAAAAACTGAAAAAAAATATATGTTTTTGTAGCTTTGATACAAAAAAAGTTCTTTAACTGTGGTTTGTACACTTGGTGAAAATACACTTTTTTCGAAACGTCGAGTTACTAAAGTCTCTGTTAGTATTCAAATTTCTCAGAACGTCGTTAATTAATTCATTGATAGGTTTATAACGGAAAGAGAAAGAGGTTAACTTGCACGTTTCTAGTTTGCCACTCTGTACGAAGGGTTAGGTGGAGGGGGAAGAAAAGACAGAGATGAGAAGGAAGGATGGCGTGAAATTGTCGATGATGGTGGGTCACTGTTCATTGTTCACTCTCATATCTCCAGGCATTTCCAGAGTGGACGACAAATTTTTGCTCGCAAGGATTATTACTACGCTTTTCGTGGCCCTTAGAACTGGTCCAATGTGCCCCAGGCCTCTAAAACTTTGAACAAGCTGAAAAGCCTCGGGTTCATCGTCATTAAACTTTGCTGTTAAAGAAATCAAAGATTGAGACCTAAGCCCCGCATTACAAGTCAAGTCTTTACCAAAGTTCCTTTAAAAAACTGACAGGAAAATTAAAGTGGCACGTAGGGCTAACGTCCGCGGTAGTACATTCGATCGGACCATCAGGGAGACATAGTCGATCGTTCTTGCTTTCCCGAAAAACGATGTCGAATTACGCTACTGAACCGGCTTAGAGAAAATAAAAGTTTATTTCAGCTATTATTAATGTGCCTGTGTGGCCACAAACTTGGCGCTTAGGAAGGAGACGTACTACGAGTACGAACGTCTCAAATCTGACCGCGAGCGTAGAAAGTAGGAGAAAAAAATGATAGCTTACCTGTCTACTTCGGATAAAACCGACTAAAAAAGAATGCGTCGTGTGTTCCTATCTCCCTCTCTAACAGATTACGTCAAAAGCCTAACGGGCAAAACAAACGCAACAAATGGAAACAGATCGAAACAGATGGACGCAGACACAGGGCGCATTCTGTAAAAGTCTGGTTTATGAGAAGTATCATGGCTACGCTTTTTATTTATATATGTAAAACCTAGCAGGCACTTTGCGTCACAGTTTTTATATTTTATCTTGACTGAAAATAGTTTCAAAGCGTGGGGGAACCTTAAATATACACTTTAAGAAGTGCACAGATACAGCAAGATCAATGTCAAGCTCGCTTACATCGACAAATAAACAAAAATGTCACTTTTCACATCAACAAAAAAAAAAATAAAAATAAACGCATACAAACTGGCACGGGCCTTACGAAGTTTTCTTGGTCCCCATTCTTGCAGAGCGCACTTAAACTTATGCCCGCCGTAAATCTATCGCAATAAGCCGCCGTTTGTTACCCTCGACAGACGGATAT